GTTAGAGATGGCTTGCAACAAGGTGTTCTCAGTGGTGTTAGAGATGGCTTGCAACAATGTGTTCTCAATGGTGTTAGAGATGGCTTGCAACAAGGTGTTCTCAGTGGTGTTAGAGATGGCTTGCAACAAGGTGTTCTCAGTGGTGTTAGAGATGGCTTGCAACAAGGTGTTCTCAGTGGTGTTAGAGATGGCTTGCAACAATGTGTTCTCAGTGGTGTTAGAGATGGCTTGCAACAAGGTGTTCTCAGTGGTGTTAGAGATGGCTTGCAATAAGGTGTTCTCAGTGGTGTTAGAGATGGCTTGCAATAAGGTGTTCTCAGTGGTGTTAGAGATGGCTTGCAACAAGGTGTTCTCAGTTGTGTTAGAGATGGCTTGCAACAAGGTGTTCTCAGTGGTGTTAGAGATGGCTTGCAATAAGGTGTTCTCAGTGGTGTTAGAAATGGCTTGCAACAAGGTGTTCTCAGTGGTGTTAGAGATGGCTTGCAACAAGGTGTTCTCAGTGGTGTTAGAGATGGCTTGCAACAATGTGTTCTCAGTGGTGTTAGAGATGGCTTGCAACAATGTGTTCTCAGTGATGTTAGAGAAGGCTTGCAACAAGGTGTTCTCAGTGGTGTTAGAGATGGCTTGCAACAAGGTGTTCTCAGTGGTGTTAGAGATGGCTTGCAACAAGGTGTTCTCAGTGGTGTTAGAGATGGCTTGCAACAATGTGTTCTCAGTTGTGTTAGAGATGGCTTGCAACAAGGTGTTCTCAGTTGTGTTAGAGATGGCTTGCAATAAGGTGTTCTCAGTGGTGTTAGAGATGGCTTGCAACAAGGTGTTCTCAGTGGTGTTAGAGATGGCTTGCAACAATGTGTTCTCAGTGGTGTTAGAGATGGCTTGCAACAAGGTGTTCTCAGTGGTGTTAGATATGGCTTGCAACAATGTGTTCTCAGTTGTGTTAGAGATGGCTTGCAACAAGGTGTTCTCAGTTGTGTTAGAGATGGCTTGCAATAAGGTGTTCTCAGTGGTGTTAGAGATGGCTTGCAACAAGGTGTTCTCAGTGGTGTTAGAGATGGCTTGCAACAATGTGTTCTCAGTGGTGTTAGAGATGGCTTGCAACAAGGTGTTCTCAGTGGTGTTAGAAATGGCTTGCAATAAGGTGTTCTCAGTGGTGTTAGAGATGGCTTGCAACAAGGTGTTCTCAGTGGTGTTAGAGATGGCTTGCAACAATGTGTTCTCAGTGGTGTTAGAGATGGCTTGCAACAAGGTGAGTCAGCTGCTGGGGACATAATCTTGTTTCACGCATGAAAGAACTGTGTACCGGTAGTTGTTTAGCATCTTGTCATTCAAACAGGACTCAAAACTAACATACTGTATATAGTTGCAAATGGTTTCAGAGTGGGGCGTAGAGTGTGCAATTTAAGGAAGATAATAAGAAGATGGACAGGCACTGTACTGTAAAATTAAAAAATACCAGGGTATATTGGCGTCTATCACATTACAGGCTACAGTAACAAAACACCGCAGGTTATGACAAAGCTGTGTCCTGGGATGGCCATGAGTAATAAAAGTAGCACTTAACGATCATGAATAAGCTGCAACTATATGTTTAATTGTTTATATTTTGTGAACAAGAACTCCTCAAAATAAGAAACATTTCCAATTCTGTGCAAGGCAGACAGATGTGTCACCTGCTAAGTTTATATTTTTCTGACTTATGGTGAAGATAAAAGATAATAATGTCAGATGAAAACTAAAATGGTGATATGAATGTTACAAAATTAATTGCTCCTATTGACACGAAAAGAAAGTATAACACCAAAACATAATTACCTAACCAAAGGCGAGATGTTTTCACAAAGTCTATTTGCATGATACAGTTTTTGTAATCACCTCCAAGGTAAAGAAAGTCAACCATTTCCTGTGTGTGGAGCTATTGATTTCACACTGTAATTTGCTATTTGTCAAATATTTATCACACTTGGGATCTAGGCAGTTCCAGCCAGCACTGTTCCCCATTCTAGCTACTGCAGAGAGCTATTTAGTTCTCCATAAGTAGGTGATAAGAAACTGTGTTCTGTGACGACCTTGTAAAACTGTTAAACTTCAGGCCCATGTTACTAAACTATACCATGAGTTAAGATCTTATTCAACTGTTTATGTGTTCACACAAGGATATGAATTAATATAGTAAATACAATTTCACTAATTAATCTTGTAAATATTTTCATAGAGAAAAGAAATTGTCTGTTTACCTTCAAAATTAAAATTCATCATATTAAACATCTTTGGCATATAGGTGGTTGTAATTTTTGCATTTTAATTTAAATCTATTAATATAGCCCCCATGTTTGTAATTCATTTTGAGAAATAAAAGGAAAAGTTTGGAATAGGTGCTTCTTTCAAACAAATGCAAAAAACAATAGATTCATAAGATCAGTCACTTATTAATCAAACAACAATTAATTTCTTTGCCAATTTATAATAGGGCACTTTTAGCTTTTCTCAAAAGGGGATGTGTGTCGCTCCACAACAATCGGTAACTATGTAGCTACATACGTCACGACCTTGTTTGTATAGTAACACTCTGTTGAGGTCATCGAAGGAACATCACTGACATTTGAAAATGATGGAAATAGCTAAAAGCACAAGTTTATATTGTTTGCTTAAACATCTGCTCACTACAATATAGAATTATGTTGTTTTCTTGGTGAAAGTTTCATCTATATGGAGGTGAAATGTAAAATGAATAAATGATACCTAGCCATTAGCTTATGGATTCCACAAACTGAAAAGAGGAAATAAAATATTCTGGAAATCACCAGTTTGTTTCTTCTGATGAATGCAATGTTGTTCATCACGAACCAATTGTGAAAACAAAAGTTAAGATTGCCTGATCAATGCAAGAAGCTAACGAACTGGTCTCAATATGGCATCATTTTCAGACAACCTTTTGAAGAAGAAGCAAACAATTTTTTTAAATGACTCTGATTGTAAATTCACAGTAAGATTTTACCATCTGGTTTTGAATAAAGTCTTTCTTAGGTAAGTAGAAATAAAATTTTCACACCAACAGACTTCCATAGAAATGGGGGTTCTGCCAAGGCAAAATGGCCGTCATAGCAAGTTTGATTCAAATCCATACAAATACTGTTTGTTACTCTGCCAATGTATTATGAATATCTAACAGTTAATATTTACTCTGATGTTGCAGAGATAATGTCTCAGTTTCCAACATAGCAGTAACCACAACATCTTGACCTGAACAGGACACAGTCTGGGGAATACTGTAGGTCTGAGGCTTGGGTCTGTGGAGTGCTTACAGCAGCAGACTGGAGTGTTCTCCTGGTGTTTAGCCACTAGTTACTGGGCTGTAAATCTACAAGTTCTCTACTCTCACTGCCATACAGGCTCACACACAAACTGTTACACCTGACACCAAGTTGTCTCCATAGGTTGGCAGCTTCTGGATATCATGTTTTGTGATTTTTATTTCCATGAGAGCGCTTTTGGTCCAAATGTGTGAGTACCTGGTCTTAATATATGTTTCTCCGCTTTATCTTCACTTACCATATATGTGTCATTGAACTGTTGTTTAAGGTGTCTGTAATATAGTCTATTCTTCCTCAGAACTTGTTAATTTAAACAAAAGTTAGATATTTTCACTACTTGATACATAATACGAGGATAGTTTGTATTGGTTTTGGGACGGTTGTTTCAAGCACACCAAAGGCCCAGGTTCTAAGCCAGGGGCACAAGGTCTCAGCAAGTTTGAAGCAGGTCGTCCAAACAACATATTACTCATGTGCAAACTGATCTTGTATGACCTTAAAATATCCAGCAATAACTGTTAAACCTAATTCTACAATATCTCAATTCAAAACAAAGCAATTCCAGCACCTAGACCTGCACTGAAAAAGTGTAGCAGACAGTGGAGGTGCCCTCCCTTTAATACTGTCAGTAGATGTGTGAGATGAGACAGGGCAGCAGACAGTGGAGGTAGCCTCCCTTTAATACTGTCAGTAGATGTGTGAGATGAGACAGGGCAGCAGACAGTGGAGGTGGCCTCCCTTTAATATTGTCAGTAGATGTGTGAGATCAGACAGGGCAGCAGACAGTGGAGGTGGCCTCCCTTTAATACTGTCAGTAGATGTGTGAGATGAGACAGGGCAGCAGACAGTGGAGGTAGCCTACCTTTAATACTGCCAGTAGATGTGTGAGATGAGACAGGACAGCAGACAGTGGAGGTAGCCTCCCTTTAATATTGTCAGTAGATGTGTGAGATGAGACAGGGCAGCAGACAGTGGAGGTGGCCTCCCTTTAATACTGTCAGTAGATGTGTGAGATGAGACAGGGCGGCAGACAGTGGAGGTAGCCTCCCTTTAATATTGTCAGTAGATGTGTGAGATGAGACAGGGCAGCAGACAGTGGAGGTAGCCTCCCTTTAATACTATTAGTAGATGTGTGAGATCAGACAGGGCAGCAGACAGTGGAGGTGGCCTCCCTTTAATACTATTAGTAGATGTGTGAGATCAGACAGGGCAGCAGACAGTGGAGGTGGCCTCCCTTTAATACTACCAGTAGATTTGTGAGATCAGACAGGGCAGCAGACAGTGGAGGTGGCCTCCCTTTAATACTACCAGTAGATGTGTGAGATGAGACAGGGCAGCATACAGTGGAGGTAGCCTACCTTTAATACTGCCAGTAGATGTGTGATAGGGTTAATAGGTCTCCAGTACTCTACTGCTTGTCGTAAGGCAAATTTGGGGTCCCGAGTAATTGGGAATTCCGTACAAGAATTCGGGTCCCCAGCAACCCATGCTTGTTGTAAGAGGCTACTGAATGATTCGGTGGTCAGGCTTAGTGACTTGCTGTAATGCATGTCATTGTACCCTGACCATGTGGGAGGTTGCTCATGATATCAATCACTGTTTTTCTGACCGAGACTTGGTTATGTACAGATTTCTGTTATATTGATGAAATAGTCATTGCTGCCTGTGAAGTAAATCAAGAAAGAAATATACTAGATAATAGGAAGCAATTAATTCACCACCTTCTTCATTTCAAACAAATTTCAAACAAATTTTCATATAACAGAATTGAAATCGGCCTAAATTATAAATTTATAATTAATGAAAGTGGAAGCACTAGATTTCCTGGTTGCCTTGCCAAGAACAACAAGCTCCACCTCTCATCATTCAGGACTGACAGATTAGCATCAGGAAACAGTCAATAAGTGCAATGCAGGAAGGGGCCAACAGCTACCTGTGTAAACAAACAAAAATTCAAAGTTTATTTCAAACCCATAACTACATTTATCATGCTTGCCCTAACAACACTTGGACACTCAGACTGGCAGATATGTAAATATGTCTGTCATAGGATAATCTATATGAACACATTCTAATATGCATTAGCATTATGATGGTCATCAATCAGCATTTACCTGCTGCTTGGCAGGCTTGAACAGACTGCTTTGATTGACACCTGAAATTAATGCTGTAATTGACTGCTATTGCCAGTACTTTCTACCCAAGTCAGAAATACGTCACAATACTATTTCACATAATCTATCGATAGGAAATCAATAAAAGTCAGTGGGGTTCTGGTTGGGTTACGAGGATGCCCTTTTCTGAGATTATTTTATTCAGTTTTTGTTAATAAAAGTTCTGTGTGTGTGTGTGTGTGTGTGTGTGTGTGTGTGTGTGTGTGTGTGTGTGTGTGTGTGTGTGTGTGTGTGTGTGTGTGTGTGTGTGTGTGTGTCTGTCTCTGTGTGTGTCTGTGTACTATGTGTGTGTACTGTGTTTGTGTGTGTCTCTGTGTGTGTCTGTGTTTGTGTGTCTATCTGTCTGTCTGTCTGTGTACTCTGTATGTGTCTGTCTGTGTCTGTGTTTGTGTGTCTGTCCGTCTGTCTGTGTACTGTGTGTGTGTCTGTATCTATGTGTACTGTGTCTGTGTCTGTGTGTTTGTAGAAAAATCATGTTTGTGTGTCCATGTCTGTCCATGTGTGTGTGTGTGTGTGTTTTGGGGTGTGTCTGTCAGTCTGTGTGAGTGTGTACTATTTGTGTGTGTCTCTGTATCTGTGTGTGTAAAAGAAAATGTAGAAATGTAGTGTAGAAAATTCATTTTCTTTCTTTGTATGTAGCTTTTAGAAAAAAAGTCAATTACTGAAGGTTCAGGATGTGTTTATCTGAAAGAAGTTGACATGTATACACTGTATATCAACAATGTGCCTTTGTTAACACACTTATAAAGTGTGAGAACTCATGTAGATATATCTGTGTTCCGTTGAAAGTCAATTTTCTACAGTGCAAAAATAACATTTGCCATGCCTCAATCAATGTGTACTAAGCTTGCTGTCTGGTAACACGGCAAAACATCAATATAGTGTGTAATACAGTACCATCCAAACAAATTACTTTATTTCAAATATGTAATGATATATTATGTCTTGACTTGTACACCCTATAGTCTCTTGTAGCTGGCAGAGTGTGACCTTGTAGCAGAAGGATTACTGGGGATCCATTGAACCCTGACAGGGCCTCTCCTGGCCACAGGTGCTTCGTGGTGCTATGCTAGCCAAGGAGGTCTGAGGAGATTTCCTGATACTCCTTTTTACCTGCAACTGTTTTTGTACAGATATTAATGTTGATAATGGGTTAGTGGGAAAACAAGCAAAGATGTGACACTTCCAGAATCTTATGAACATTCTTGAAAGTTTCTTGCAGTTTTCTTAATTGTGTGAATATTAGTAATATTAGCTTCTTATCTGAATGATATTATTAAAAGAATTGAAATACTTCAAAATAAAAACTATAAAAAAAATATAGAAATAGTTGTCAACATTTGGGCTTCAGTAACATTCTTCAATTCTTCAATAGGATTATTTTAATTGGCAAATCAATAATTTACATAATTTGAAAAAAAATGAGAAAGGAATTCCCTGAAAAAGATTATTGATTCTTTTAAAAAAATTTAGACTGCGCCTCTGAGAGGGGCAATCTCTCAGATTCATGGTTATGCTGGATTCCAGTGTAAAATCTTCGAAAAACAAGATACACACTCAAGACACATAGCACTGTAGGCCAAACAGTCTTCAGAGAGTCAACATTACGGCTATACCTTTCTCACTCCTTTCTAAGACCTAGGGCTCCGAGTTAGAGTAGGTCGTGCTCAGTAACAGTGACATGTTTACTTCTGTTAACAAGAAGGAAACTTCTCTGAAGTATTCACTTGATTTTATTTTGTTTTCCAGAAGAACCTAACTGATAATTAGAGATGACTGATAATTAAAGATGTCTTCAGCACTGACTGAATTTGCAGATTACTTTTAAACACTGCCATTACAGTCAATGGTCATGAATGATCATTTGTCCGTTTTTATTATCAATATATTTTTTTTAAATAATAAAACTGTTCTATAACAATGTTCAGTAAGTGTAGCAGCTTTGGCTGGTTCAGCTATTGTCTGGAGTGACTGCACTGCCAGTAGATGCAAGTGATCTGTCACCACAACAATGTGTTACCTTGTAGACAGCTGTCAGTAAGTGTGGCAGCTTTGATGGGTTCAGCTATAGTCTGGAGTGACTGCACTGCCAGTAGATGCAGGTGATCTGTCACCTCAACAATGTGGTTACGTTGTAGACAGCTGTCAGTAAGTGTGGCAGTTTTGATGGGTTCAGCTATAGTCTGGAGTGACTGCACTGCCAGTAGATGCAGGTGATCTGTCACCACAACAATGTGTTACCTTGGAGATAGCTGTCAGTAAGTGTGGCAGCTTTGATGGGTTCAGCTATAGTCTGGAGTGACTGCACTGCCAGTAGATGCAGGTGATCTGTCACCACAACAATGTGTTACCTTGTAGCATGCAGGCACATGCAGTAATGTTAAAATTCTTTAGTCAGTTTCACCTGAAACAGGATTTATTGGCAAGACTTTGTTCATGTGGAAAGATTAACTCTGATGTCGGTGAGAAGCACAGCATGTAGCATAACAATGAACAGGTAGGCCAAGCAGGTATTTTTAATACTTTGAACAATTCATAGTTACAGTGAAAACAAGAACATAAGCCTTATTCTTTTCAGTTTGTGCTCTCATGAAAATATTGTTTTGTCACTTGGTGCATATTTTAAGGATTTAATTATACTGGTAGAACTTTTACATTGATTTTTAATATATCAATTAATGCTTACAATTGATGAAATTTTACCTTGTCATAAGCAACAATGGTAAGATACTGTTACCTGATAATCTAATCATTTGCTGGTAATTGTGGTGTCTCAAAGTGATCATCTGCATGGCTGAACAGCAAAGGAACACCAAGGCTCTTCAGCCCTGCACCGGTACTCACTCAGAGTTGGGCTTAGCATGACCCCTTGACATGAACTATGTAATCCTTGGTTAGAAGGTTTGTCCTTGTCTGTCTGTGACGTAGCTGTGAGATTGTGTGGCGGTGCATGCAGTGCCAGGTCAGGCTGGTCCCTGTGTTACCATTCACAGTCCAGTCTGCAGACTGAATGGTGTACACCATTGCATCAGATAATGGTAGTCAACATATCAATGTAATAAACAATCTAATAACTTGGTATCACGAATAAATATGCAAATGTGTTTACCAAGAAGGAGCTACTTTAATAAGCTCCAAACATTGATGTGATGCCTCCTTGATTGCGAAAACTATTGCCTAACATTCCCACAAATAGCCAAATGTTCAGATAGATCTTCCTGATGTGCGAGTGCTTTTGTAAACAAACATGGCTGCAACTCATTTGGCTCATTATATCATTAATAGGGCGGTTCACTCATCCAGTGTATTCATACAAGTTATTTCAGTAAATGAAAATACGTCTTAAACCTTGATTATTTTAAGATTAATTCTATGATAAAAAGATTATTATCCTCATGTGTTTCCTGATGATCTGTAAGGAATACAGGCGTGGACACCATGGTCATGTCCAACTAGTCCGCAACATATTTGATAAAACTACTGGATTTTTCGGAGAACATAACGGTTCTCTCAAGTTTTTTCACTAGTCTCATGACTACCGGACTAGTGGGCGTGTCTGTCCCTGGTGTCACATCCTTAGCCAAGCTGGTTATAGCACCAAGTTTATTCCTAATATAGACTGTAAATCTGGAAAGTTTCGTGAACAGGAAAGTACCGTGAAAACTGTGGGGGACACACACTCGCAATAGTTTCATGGCACAGTTATCTTTGCAGACCAACAACAAACAAAAGACGTAAGGAGGTATATTTCTTGTATTCACTTCCACACGTTGTCAAACCAGCCAGTACATGATTATACAAATACTCCCTCATATCCCGTGGTTCTCTAGTTAAACATCGTCACTTAGTGTCAATAGTCTAATTAGTCTAAGTTCACTAAACTGCCACATCTCGTCAAGTAGTTGGCATAACACCGAGTAATCCTGACATTCACCAGCCACTATTCTGTCAGATAAACACACTGCTCCAGCCTCCCATGACAACTACAACACATGCATCTCTAGTTTACAAATCACTGACTGACGCTGAGTTACCAATTCATCCTGAAATATAACACCTGCAAAAGTAGCTTTAATATTGAGTCATGTTGCAAAACTTTTTTAGATGCAGATAAGGCTATTGTTGGCCACCCGCAGTAATTTCATGCCGTAAAATGTTCCCGATTTACTCTATGATTTATGGATTCAAAAACATGCTCAGCTAATAATCTGTATATCGTTAAAAGTTACTTTTGCAGATTTTCTGCTAAATGGTGAGTGATCATGTGTGATTATAGGGACACACAGGGCTTGATTAAACTGGTGGTGTCTGTTGTCTGCAGAAATAGCGGGGTGATGTTACTTGAAGTCAGTTAGAGGTGGATTAGCAGACATTGACACACACTTGTAAGTAATGTTCACAGTTTACAACACAAAATTCTACCCTCCTCAACAAGTTGAAAGTACAGATTATTCTGTCATGATCAATGATCAAGATATATTTCAGTTATTCATATCTCAATCATGTTCTGGGAAGAAATTGATTCATAGTCATTAGTTATATCACAACAGCCTGTAACCTATGTCTGGGTTAGACAAACCAATGGTTGATATTATCACCAACGCCCCACGCCATTGGGGTATGGAGACATGCAAGTCAACAAAGTCACAAAGCTTGACTACACAACACATTTTAGTTACCTCATGTCACAAAAATCACCTGTTCTACCCACAGGGTTCAGTAGATATATTACAAAAAGCAGGTAGAATAATTGTGAATAATAATTGAACTTATCGGTTCAGAATTTTTTAGTGTTTCAACAATACCGTGTTTAGCATACATATTACAGTAAGTTGTTTTCTTAGATCTTCCATAAACTGTCAAAGCTTAAATGTGAACACAAGATTTCAAGCTCCAACCTTCTACCCATCTACAACAGTCTTGATGGAACAGGTTGAACACGTTGAACACATTGAACACATTGAACACGTTAAACACGTTGAACATGTTGAACACAATGAACATGTTAAACACAATGAACATGTTAAACACATTGAACTATGAATATGTTGAACACATTGAACATGTTAAACATGATGAACACGTTGAACATGTTGAACACATTGAACATGTTAAACACATTGAACACGTTGAACATGTTGAATATGTTGAAAACATTGAACATGTTCAACTCATTGAATAGGTTGAACATGTTGAACACTTTGAACATGTTAAACACATTGAACATGTTAAACACATTGAACATGTTAAACACATTGAACATGTTAAACACATTGAACATGTTGAACACATTGAACTATGAATATGTTGAACACATTGAACATGTTAAACATGATGAACACGTTGAACATGTTGAACACATTGAACATGTTAAACACATTGAACACGTTGAACATGTTGAATATGTTGAAAACATTGAACATGTTCAACTCATTGAATAGGTTGAACATGTTGAACACTTTGAACATGTTAAACACATTGAACATGTTAAACACATTGAACATGTTAAACACATTGAACATGTTGAACACATTGAACATGTTGAACACATTGAACATGTTAAACACATTGAACATGTTAAACACTTTGAACATGTTAAACACGTTGAACATGTTGAACACATTGAACATGTTAAACACGTTGAACACGTTGAATATGTTGAAAACATTGAACATGTTCAACACATTGAAAACGTTGAACACATAGAACATGTTGAACACTTTGAACATGTTAAACACATTGAACATGTTAAACACATTGAACATGTTAAACACATTGAACATGTTGAACACATTGAACTATGAATATGTTGAACACATTGAACATGTTAAACATGATGAACACGTTGAACATGTTGAACACATTGAACATGTTGAACATGTTGAACACGTTGAACATGTTGAACACATTGAACATGTTAAACATGATGAACACGTTGAACATGTTGAACACATTGAACATGTTGAACACTTTGAACATGTTGAACACATTGAACATGTTGAACACTTTGAACATGTTGAAAACGTTGAACATGTTGAACATGTTGAACATGTTGAACATGATGAACACATTGAACATGTTAAACACATGGAACATGTTGAACACATGGAACATGTTGAACACATTGAACACGTTGAACACTTTGAACATGTTGAACACATTGAACATGTTGAACACATGGAACATGTTGAACACATGGAACACGTTGAACACATGGAACATGTTGAACACATTGAACATGTTGAACACATTGAACACGTTGAACACGTTGAACACATGGAACATGTTGAACACATTGAACACGTTGAACATGTTGAACACGCTGAACACATTGAACATGTTGAACACATGGAACATGTTGAACACATTGAACATGTTGAACACATTAAACATGTTGAACACATTGAACATGTTGAACATGTTGAACACTTTGAACATGTTGAATACATTGAACATGTTGAACACGTTGAACATGTTGAACATGTTGAACATGTTGAACATGTTGAACACAGTGAACATGTTGAACACATTGAACATGTTGAACACTTTGAACATGTTGAACATGTTGAACATGTTGAACACATTGAACATGTTGAACACTTTGAACATGTTGAACACATTAAACATGTTGAACACTTTGAACACTTTGAACATGTTGAACACTTTGAACATGTTGAACACATTAAACATGTTGAACACTTTGAACACTTTGAACACGTTGAACACTTTGAACATGTTGAACACATTGAACATGTTGAACACTTTGAACACTTTGAACACGTTGAACATGTTGAACATGTTGAACATGTTGAACACATTGAACATGTTGAACACATGGAACATGTTGAACACATTGAACATGTTGAACACCTTGAACACGTTGAACACTTTGAACATGTTGAACACATTGAACATGTTGAACACATGGAACATGTTGAACACATTGAACATGTTGAACACATTGAACACGTTGAACACATGGAACATGTTGAACATTTTGAACATGTTGAACATGCTGAACACATTGAACATGTTGAACACATGGAACATGTTGAACACATTGAACATGTTGAACACATTGAACACGTTGAACACATAGAACATGTTGAA